GTAGGAATTCCTGCCTTCCCTCAGAAAACGGAGAAATTAGCAGTGTTCCAGTAAACCTGTTAATGAATACCTGGGAAAGGTTGATCTATGCAGCAGAAATGCAGTGTCGAGAAGAAAATGGAAGTAAAGTTCTGTTCACACCACATCGAGGGTGCTTCTAACCCATTAATTTTCCAAATGGTTAGCTCAGCGAGTGTAAATCAACAATCGCCCGTTAATGAAAAACTTTCGTATTACTCGATGATGATACCAGGACATTAGGTAAACTTCAACTTTAGATTAAAAAAGTTTTAAAAATGCATCATAAAACTGAATTAAAATAATAATTTTCTATATGTTCTTAGTTTTCCCCTTGTACAATTTTTAGACAGCAAGAGCGACATTACGTACTGTACATAACAGTACACCAAAAATTAGGGCAGCGCTGTGAATGGGTCACTAGCAAGTTGCCACGTTCTCTATAAGCTTATTGTGTCTGGGAACAACACTGGTACAGTAAGTAAACTTCCTGCGTCCTTCTGATCTTGTGTGATTTGTTTGGTTTTGCTCCTATTCTTTGTATTAACCTGTTAGCCATATATTTAAATGTTTACTTTGAAAACGATTAGTGTTTGTGACGCTAAAGTTTAGGACTACAGAATTGAATCATATGAAATACAGTACTGTAATAATTGCAATATTTCAAAACGTCCGTGTTATGGAAAAGCCGGGTGGACTTGATATACAGTACACTCGACGGCGAATACCCAGCGGTTCTACTTGCTGCTTTGGACAGCGTTATTATTTTTTTTAAATTCATTTTTCAAAACAAATCTATATCTATGAATGATAATGTCCACATTCGTCGTAATTTTGTCAAAAAAAGAATGTCCCGCACAATGCAATATGCAAAGCTTTATGTAGCGGTGGATGCGGTGCGAAATATTTATTTGTGTTGCACTTCTGGAGAGTTTCTCCCTTACAAAAGATATGAATAGTCAAAAATAGACGAAATCAAATGCTTTTCACTTGAAAGCAGTGAAATTGAGTTTTGGGCTCCAAACGTTTGTATCGTTGAGACAATAAAATGGATACCTTTTACGCAGCAACGATACGAGTTCGGGGAAATGTCAGCAGTTCCACCACACAGCCGATTAGGCAAAGACGTGAGAAATTACTTTATCAGTTGCATTTAGTCATAAATCTAGAGAAGCCAGATTTGCACACCCAAAGTTGACACTCCTCTTTTAAGTGGTGCCACAGAACCTTTAATGACAAAATAGACAGGAACTCAGTTTAAAGTTACATTAAAAGGACACCTTCTACAGCATAGTGTCCCCAGTCGCCATACTGGGATATTAGTTTGCAAAATATGGCCCAAAGGAAGATCAGCATAAATTATTTCTTGTTTTCTTTGAATTCAGTTGAATTGAATTCAGATTGCAGTAAGCAATGTTTAGTACTATTGATATTATTCATAATAGATCTTTTCTACTATTAAATGTTGATGTGCTGAGTCAATTCATATTTTTAGTTTGTAAAACTGTTCAGCAGTAAGAAACTATTTCAGTCAGATTCTACCTAGAATTCCAATGAATGAATTCTTAGGTCATCTGAAAGCAGGCTAAAAATGTCCTTTGAAATTTAACATATTTAACAAAATTAAATTATTAAAACATTTTAACATTAGTTTGATTATCCACCTTTTGGATAGGTATTTTTAAACATTGGTCTAAATTAATAATAACTTAGAAGTTATTTGAGTTTTGAGTGACTCATCTTTCTTCTGAAAGAGCATTTTTTCAATTTTCCTTTCATGTTACAATACCTGAAAATAAATACAATGATTTAAGAATAGGGAAAATTGAATATATATATATTATATATATAGTAACAGACTAAAAAGAGATCAACCAATCCACACAATAAACTTCTGTTTTTCTCCCTTTACAGTCCTTAGAAAAAGTCAAAACGTGTACTGTAATTCCCTATAACGTAAATAAAGTTAATATTTCAGCACATTACCAGTTTTAAAAAGATTTACTTCCTGACAGCATTTTCAGGATTCAAGTAAGTGCCTTTCTAGGTGCTACAGTTCCTCTCAGGCCTTAACTGAGGGTACAAAGTCTTGAGCGCAACTTTAGAGTTTAGGTTGTTTCAAACACATTGTAGTTATAAAGTTATTCTAGACAATGAGATGAAGTAGATAAAAAGGTAAGTGTGTATGGTTAAGAACAAATAATTGAAATCTTGTTTTCAATCTATGAAAGGCAGTAGTAAGATCTTATTTAGAATATTGTGTGCATATCTGGTCATCATATTATAGAAAAGATACTTCTTTGGAATTCATCCACAGAAAAGCACACAAAACAGGCTTTAGAGCTCAAAGGAATGTCCTACACGTCCAGGCTAAAAGAAATGAACCTTTCAAAGACTGAATTATTCAAAGTTCTCATTATCAACAGTGCAACACAAACCAAGGGTGAAAAATGAAAAGCATATGGAAGAACAGTACATCTGAGAACAGGAGACAGATTTTTAAACAAAGTGTTGTGGGTTGTGCAACCAACTATGAGCCATGTTAAAGTGAAATACCTTACTTTGATCAACAAACAACTGGATGAGATCTTTGGATCAACAAGCTACTAGATACCAAAGGGTTTATAAAGGCTGTTGTCTCCTGTTTGGACCTTTTATGTTCTTGGATCTTTATTGCAGCTTTTCTCAAAGAACATGATTTTCAACATGAATAATACATAGCAAGCCACAGTTTTATGGATTGAGAAAAGAGTATTTTATCAGGAAATATACAGGCCATACATTGCAAAAATAAATGTTGTTTGCTGCTTCTGTACAAGATGAATTAAACTGTTGTAGTTTATGCTAGTACAGTACATGCAATTCTGCTGTTTAACTCTAGATGGGGTTGTTTCCATAATTCCACTCCTGTTCAGCAGTATTTACATAGGGTTTCCTCATCTTTGCAAGGCATGAACAGTGTGTTCTAGAAAAAAATAATAACAGTTTTGAAAATCCCATATATTATTTGGTCTTCAAACTAGACAAAATCTTTTATCAGTAATGTAGATAGAGACAGAGTGACAGAGTCAATTTGTCAGTTTGTCAGTTCTTATACTGAGAGTAATCTGGCTGGCTGGCTCCCTTAAAATGTTTAGAAATATTTGCAATTGAGTGTGTCTTTAAAAATGATCACCTTGAATGCCATTGTGTCATGCTTGTATTTTAGCAATGGTAAAAAAAACTTTTAGCACACAAAATACTATAATAATCTGTTAAAAATGTCGGCCACTTTTTGACATTGTGTTGTCAAAAAGTGATTTTTTTTAAGTGGTGATGTAGCCAGCAGCTATCACCCTGCAACTCACCAGTGGCAGCCCACAGAAGCTAAGCAGGTGTGAGCATGATCAGTACCTAGATGGGAGATCTCCTGAGAAAGCTAAGAGGTGTTAGTGGGACTAGTGGGGGCGCTTACCCTGCAGTCTGTGTGTATGCTAATACCCCAGTATAGTGATGGGAACACTATACTGTAGAAAAGGAGGTGTCTCTGTGGTCATTTAAAATCCCAGGGTTTCTCTTGAAAAGAGTAGGGGTGTTACCCTGGCATTCTTGCCAAATTTCCCATTGCCTTTTACCAATCATGGCTTCGTAATACTCCCATTTATGAATTGGCTTCATCACCCTGTTCTCCTCCCTACTGATAGCTCATGTGTGGTGAGCCTTCTGGCTTACTATGGCTGCCATCACATTATCCAGATGGGGCTGCACATTGGTGGTGGTGTAGGGGAGTCCCCATTACCTGTAAAGCGCTTTGAGTGGAGTGTCCAGAAAAGCACTATAAAAGTGTAAAGAATGATTCTTAACCATCATTGTGTTGTATTTTTAAAAAGTCATCCTGGCTAAAAAGCGGTTGAACTTAAAATGTCTGTCTTTACTAAAATGTGAAGAGACATTTCCACATTCCACAAGGAAGATTAAGATAAAAAGGGATACATTTTTAAATACTCTGTTATAAATGTATCCCATCTGTGGGTAAAGAATAAAGTAAAAACAACTTCCGTACACTAAATGGGAGAAAAGAATCTAGAATGTGCAGGTTGAAAGGACTCAGGATGAGAACAAAACTGTCAGATAGCTCTTAGGAACCTTATAGGGTCACTGCTTCCCTTAACACTGAGTGAACACTGCTGTGCTTTGAGCTCTGAGAGCTAGCTGGCTTGCCACAATGCTCCTTCTGTTTTTGGACAGGACAGAATGAGGTCTGGAAGTGAATCACAGCAACGGACTCCAGCGCACACCCTCTTGTCTGTCTTGTGACACAGTGGCTGGGACACCCTCCCATCTTGTGGGAGTGGGAGTTGTGGGAGTTGGCAGGTTTGCCATGGCAACCAAAATGTCACATTGCGCTTTCGTTCAAGGTGTGGCGATCTAAACCATCTCTGTGCATACAATGTAGGAGGAAGAACACAGTATTATCTTAGTTAATTGATTGCTTTTCAGTAGTATATGGTTATTTGGTCAAGTGCTTTAAGTTAATTGAAAAGCAAATATTTACCTTTGTTTATTAAAACAGTTTCCTATACAGGTTAACCAACATCCTGTAGTCTGTGGGGCTGGTATGATTTAGAACATTGAATAAGATTTTTCTGTTAGCTGCTAACTTAATTGTAATGTTTTATCATGGTGTTTAGTGTGCAGCGAATATATACTGTACATTTGAAAAGTAACAAGCTTACCCATTTTTCTATGAAGAAAGTAACATTGCAATGACAGGATTCTGTTGACATCTGAGACCTCTGAGGTAATTTTATATGACCAGAATTTCCAGTCTGACTGCATTTTTGCATAAAGCTAAGATTATATCACTTTAAAGTACTTGAAAGAAAGAAAGAAACCTGAGCCAAAAAGCACACCCTACTAACTACTGCTCCCTTGTCTGATGCTTTGGCAGTGAAACAAGAGGTGAAATACAGACCAAACTAAAATGGCAAACATTTGAATACAATGGCAGATTTACATATGAAGTTGGTATGAAATTCTGAAGCCTTTAGCGAGGTGAATTTGATATCAGTCTGTTTTATAAAATGGTACACCTCTACCAATGATTTAGGGATGCATTAAATTTGGTATCTTGCATGGAAAACATGAGAAAAGCAGATGATACAGTATAAAGAGTGTTAGCTATTAGTGCAAAACTGTGCAGGTGAAAAGTCGGGCAAAGGTGCCATTAGAAAAATGTACCCATAGAGGGGGACAATAGTATGGTGTTGAGTCTCTTCAATAGTAAATATTGTTTTATATAAGCATTGAAAATGCAAGTGTATGTGGCCAAAGCATCACAATGTGATTCATCAATGACTGTTATAGTACACTATATAAAGCAACATACAGTACTAGGGGAAACTGGAAGGTTATTCTGTCAGAGGAGGGTACTCTCATATGTTTTAATTATGCTTTTCAGTAAGTAGAACCTCATTCCACAAACAGCCTGGAAGAGCCTACAACAGTGCTCATATCAGCTCTTATAATCAATAACAGGAAAACAAAGCGTAACTAGCTGCCATGACCAATAATGTCTTTGAGCCATGATTTAAGGAGAAGAATTACTATGTCTCATGATAATACATTGGTGCGTGAAAAAGAAAAACAGCCAGATCTAACATTTCAAGTTAGAGAAATGGGAATATTTATTTTGGCATGATTTTAGAAGTTTGGAATGCATTTCTGAATGTCTGCCTTTTTGGCAAATTGATTTTTACCTCACTGAGTGTGATGTTTTATGTTTGTGCTTTGCTGCCTGGAACAGTGAGTGCTGCTAGCTTTTATTTAAACAGTGCAAAACCTTAGATTCAGTTGTAGGTTTTCCTAAATGCATTATGAAAACCCAATTTACATTGCATTAGATCTTTCTGTTCCAAAATACCTTTTAAACAAACAAGCCCTTACAAATTTTGTAATGTATTTTTTTATTGCAAGCAGATTAATAACAAACCTTACATTTCCACTGATTAGGTTTTTTTTAAATATGGAAGAGTAATTTGAAGAACTTCACAGTAACGTACAGATGAAATATTTCTGCTATTATACTGTAAATGAATAGTCCAGCATTGCATGTTTATCCGTGTCATTCACAACCATTTAAAAAAAAACTGTTCGAAATAATACTCTTTAAATTCCTTGTGTTTTTCAACCTTCTGGGTTATTGGCAGAATCAGAGTACAAGTTCCCAAATATAGGCAAGGCTTGAATTACACAGAATCCTGGAATGGCACCCAACCCAATAGTTAAACAAATGGAATTTTCAGAGCACAGAATGTAAATTAAATTACATTTTTGCTATTTAAGGAATATGTTTAGAATTGCCACAGAGGAATGACCAAAGTCCATGGAGAAAGGTTTCCACCTTGATTGTCTTCCAGTCTCAGCAGGAGGGAGGAAAGGAGCAATGAGTAATAAAGTGATAGGAGAGTAACTGCCCTGCTGTGCACTGGCTTTTATAACCAAGCCACACACTGTCATTGATATAACCTTTCTGTAAAAAGTAATAAGAGATCATATATACTTTTATCATATGTGATGGTTATTAACAAGCAGGGTTAAAATGGGTGTAAAATGGGTGTAAAATGACACATGGAAAGCTATTTTTGTTTCAAATCAAACCTCTTCATCCTATATTCATCTCTAATTATCCATTATCTGAAGTTAGTTTTTTATTCAACACTATAGTCACAAATTATTTTTGATTTAATTACTTTTCGTCTATTTAAACATTTCATATCATCTAAATTTAAAATAATTTTTGTCCTGAACTTCCAATGCTGAAAGTGTTTTTTTTTTTTACTTTTAGCTAGGGATGTACACTAAGGATAAAAAAATAAAAAATATCACTGAGTGCTGTTTTGAAGTCTGAGGTACGAATTCTAAACAGATTTCAATCCCATGAGATGTGCTGTTCTCTAAGCAAAATGTAATGGTTTTGACAGTCAATCTTATTATTACCATAATAAATATCAAAATAGCTTTGATATTGATTAAACATTTAAATCAGATGATTTAAATGTATAATCAATATGATATATTTTTTATATATTAAAGGCAATTGTTTACAGAAAGGGTTATAATGACCACAAAAGTAATGTTGAAAATAAAATCAAACAGACAGGAGATGCAACAATAAGAAGAAAGAGGCTTGGGGGTTTTTGTGTGCTTTTTGGCTTTTCTCACTAAAGACAAACAAGCAGAGACCAGAAGAACGTTTTCCATATGGATTTCTATTTGTTAATGTTGGAGGAGATTCTGCTTGAAGCACAGAACAAAATATTTTCAAGTAGTTCAACACATCTGTAAGGAATTATATGTGAGGGAAGAAAAAGATTGATAAAATTATAGATAACATGATAATGTATGATATAAAAACAACATGATCCAGTTTTTGAAAAGGAATATAATAAAATGCAAGCACAGGTAAAAAGGAAATCAGAAAAACCAAGACAGAAATCAAAGGACAATTGAGACTAAAATTAATTATTTCAGTACAACAACTGTAAAATACCCATTTGGGAAGAGATAAAATGTTTCTAGGACAATAACAAGAAAGTTCTAGACAATTAAAGGGAAAAGCCTGATGTACTAAAGAATATTTCACTCAAGGGGTTTAATAAGGCTGAAGTTCCTTATTAAACAGTACTATATTAGCACAGAGAGGTAGACATTTCATGTAGTAGAAGCACTGGCAATACATCCACAGGTCCTGATGGTATTTTGCCAATTGTACTCAAGGAAACGAGATGTTATTCATGCCATTGATGCAATTCTTTCAACAGTTTCTCAAGATGGGAGGCACCGGCACCCTTGGACTGGAAAATTGCTGATGTAGTACCCACCCATAAAAAGGGTGACAAAACTGGACCTGAAGTATCTACAGTATAGACCCATAATTCTGAAGATGGGATGAAGGCATTGTTCTATTGATAAACAGGGCATAAAGTGTTTCTTTCTCATGATTTTTACTAGGATTGACATTTAACCAAAACCTTGATAATTCACCTCACCATCACCTGGGCCAAATCCACTCTCTCACTAATAAGGTGATTTAGTGTTTGTACAAAAGTCAAACTCACTTTGCTGTATTACGGTGAGTTATTAATGACCAATTTATAGAAATTATGCCAATATGTATATGAGGTATCCCAAATCCATACACTTTATTTTTCTAAAAACGCACAGGCTTTATACAGTGTAAGTTGTGGAGATAGTTACTCTGATTTTAAAATAAAAATGTCACTTGTTCTCGGAGTAATAAACTGTTTGGCAAATAACTTCTCATTTATAACTTTTTCCATTTGACTCAATAATGTTGTTTATAAGTGTTGGCAGTTTTAATAGTTTTGTCCAGAAAAAAAAACCCTAATACCCAATGAGTGTATACATTTTAACCTGTTATATGTAATGGATGTTAAAGCTTTTATGAGAATATTAATAAAAAGCTAGCAACTATACTTATCCTTAACAAAATGACCTTGTCTGACACTTTGAGCCATATGTAAGACTCTCAAAATTGAGAGTATACTTAAATACTGCCCCATTTTTAATTTGAGGTTTAAGTTTGTTCCTCTAGATTGACTTCTGTCCTCAAGCATGGTCTTGCAAATCAGCCTCGCCTTAACTTCCGTCACTTCTCTCAGCAAAGCTTCAGAAGCAATCCTGGCACATTTGAGACAGTGAGAGGACAGAATGCACTACCCTAGCCTGATGGCTATTACAGTTAGTCTGACACAAACTTCATCAAGGCATTTTAACTGTGAGCAACTTTGAGGCAATTATTAGGTTATGAAAAATAATACAGAATTAGTACAGTATGTACCTCAAGAAACTTGGGGAATATGTTGCATACAAAATTTAAATTGACAGACATAGGTATGGAACATAAGAGAGTGAAAGAGTGGAACAACTTTGATTTTCTTAGTGGGAAAGGAAGATTTCATGCCAGTTCTTAGGCAACTTAAGCCTCTTTGTGTGTTTTAAGAATGCAAGTTGGCTTTTGTTCTACAAACTGAGTTGTGGCAAAGCTACATGGTCTTTTGGTTTCAACTTAATATTTTAATATCTAAAGGGGCTCAATACTGTACTCCCTCTGCTTGCTGCAGAGGCCAGACACTGTGGCTGCTAACAGCAAGAGCTCCTTCAGGTCCTTGCACACCTTACAGAACAAAATAAGTCGTCAAGCTGTTGAACAAAAATATCACTTAAAAATTAATGGACTATGCTAAATAAAGTAGGGATACTCTAGTAATTACATTGAATAAGTTCCATAATAGACGAATGGTATGGAAATATTATTTTATCTTTAGTGTAATTCTGTAAGTGTAATTCTACATGACCCTATATTCTTTAAAATCAAGAAAAAAAATAATTTCCCTCCATTCATTTAGTATAACTGCTGCACTATTTAAATAACTAGATGTTGCAAATTTGCACCTTGCATTGTTTCCTAACTACTATATTTAATTAAGAGTTCATTGTCACTGCACTATACTTTCCATTCTCTCTGCATTGTTTGGCCTTTTCTTTGGTTATCGCACTAGTTCATACTGTGTTCTACACAGTACATGGAGTACAAAAAGTGAGAGAGAATATTGCTCACAGTATCACAGTGGCTGTTTTTTAACGGACTGCTCCTCCTAGTCATCAGCTGCAGTTTGCCTAAGGCACAGTTCTACACCGTTAAAATAGAACTACAATTAATATTTCATCTGTATAAAGGGTGAGAACAAAGTAATTGGGGAAACTGAATGAGAGAACTCAGCCCTGGGACTGTTATCTTGGGAGTCAGCGAGCAGGGCATTGTGATAACAGACCAGCTGAGCCTTCTGTGCAGTTGCGCAGGTGAGCATTGTGGGTGTGTTTGCCTGGGTGGAGATGCAGCTCTGTACAAATCAGGCGCTCTCTTAACCTTACAGCACAGCTTCACTGAAACAAGGAAGCGAGGCTGTTGAACTACCAAAACATCTCGGGACACCACCACATTCCCTCTCACCCATTGGACAAGAAGGTGCTTAACCTCTCCCTCACCATCACTCATCTGTCCATCCAAGGTAAGGCTTTTTTGGGACATTATTATTGCAATTTTACGTTGTCCCTCTATTTTACACTGGACCCAGTGTTGCATGTCCAAAGTGTTTTTAAAGCAGTATAAAACAGTATAAAATATACAGTATAAAAAGAGCAGGCACTGGAATCTGGAAATGGACATTTTCAGGCCTTTACTAAATTGCCAGAAAGTTAAAACTAATTTGATATATAATATGGAATTGATTTTTAATTCTTATTTGAATTAAAAAGTATTTAATCTAAAATTAACTTTAAACAGAAATTTAATTCAGACGAGTGTAGGCAATACTAAGAGACTCTTCAGCAAACCTTAAGCAAGCAAACAACCTGATTAATAAAAAAAAAGTCAGTTGAAAGGTTTTTGAAGGGTTTGCTTGTGGATGCAAAACTTAATGTGTGAACTTGAAACACAGGTATTTAATTAGTATCTAGATAGACCTAATAAATAAAAATGTTCTGGAATATTATTATTTAGCTTGTTTCACTCGTGTGGGTCCTTTTTTATCTTTGTCAAGCAAATTGTTCAGCTTACATAGTATTTTTTAATTCAGTGGCCACGTTTCAATGGCCTTTCAGTGTCTGAAGATTCTGAAGAAATTATAGTCATATCACTCAGTTAAATTATGTAATGAATGTATGATATTAATAAAAAATAAAAGCAATTTGGGAAATCTCAGAATTTCAGTTACATACAGTAGCTGATCAAATTCTCTCATCAAAAAACAACCAGAATATGAATTGAAGGTCTTTGTGTATGACCCACATTGTAAATATACACAGTGTCATTAAACAGATTTCAGGAAGTAAACTCAGTAGTAAAATAATCTACTGATTTATGAATCAATGTTTTGTTCTATGTTTTGCCTTGCTGTCATTACATTTATCATGTTCTTTTGAAGGATATGCACCTCTTTCTTTGGATTGAGAAACATGTTCAACATTTTGGTGGACCGAAGAAAGATATTTTATTAAAACATTACAGCTCTGAATGTACTTCCAGACTTCTGTCTTTACTCTTTTTAATAGAATGCTTAAGTGTTTGAATTAAAGGTGCAGTGTTTGTACACATTCCAGCTGCCTATGTGCAATTGTGAATACAGTGTCTCTGAATATACTTATTTATGAATCTCATCTTTAGCTGTTGTTTCAGCCACAGATTTTGAATGAATCTGAGGAATTGCCAAAAGCTGGTGTCATACATCTCATTTGTTGTTCTTTGCTGTCTCTTTGTTTTGGTGGAAAAGTATCTAGGTCCCTGCCAATATTTTCCCAGAACATTGTTGCTCAATATTGAAGCAATATTACAAGCATTGTTATTTGCTTTAATACTGCATACAGTAAATCTTAACTGAGTTTAATTCATTTATTTGTTTTCTTTATTTGTTTGTTTCATTAGGGGCAGAATGCCTCTAAATCCATAGCACCTTTAGATTAGCTAAATTCCCTTATTTCAAGTAACATGTTCCCACCCTTCAACAAAATCCTATAAGGTGATTACTTCATATGCTGTATCTATAAAGTAGAGCAGAATTACTTCATGAGGTCATGGGGTGGGGTAGGACACACAAAAGAAGAAAAGTGAGAAAAGGTAGAGGGAGATGAAAAGAGACCTACAGAGTTGGAATTCTTGGCGTTAAATTTCAAGAGAACAATGAATGGAGAGATTTGAAAGAGATTCATTGTTCATTGAGCACCAGGGGAATGCATGAACCAGGTTTGAGGATGTTGGTTTCTGACATTATTCTGGTGTAGGAATCTATGAATCCCTGTGAAAGGACACAGATAGAATAGTCAAGAGAAGTATAATGTGCATTGGTCAGTTTGGGAGGTCTTTGGTATTTGGTGCTCTGACAAGTTCATTGAAATAGTTGTTCTTTTTCCTGTTTCACCCATGTACAGCAAATAGCAAAGCACTTTCTGCAATAGATGAGACTAGCACGGGTCTCTTTGGGTGATCTTGAAAAGGCCAGAGGGAGTGCATGAATGTGTCCTGCTGGATTCTTGTTGGTAAAACAGTGGCTTCTATTGCAACAGAAGGTGGATGACAGCTGTGGACAGCTAAAGGAACTGTGGACATGAAGGCTGTGTAGATGAGGTGGTTGACGGCAAGAGATGATGGGAGGGTAGTGGAAAAAGATTCCGGTTGAGAGGGCCATTCATTGCACAGACGATGTACTGTATTACAAGGTCTATTTTTGGCTGGGGTTTGGAAGTATGAGGACCTATGAGAAAGAAAGAGAGTTTTTAATGTGTTTGGAATGGAATAAACTATAAAGGAGATAACTTGAGAAGATTTCAGTCTTGGGTAATTAATAGAGTGATTTACTGTATTTCATTGCATCTTTTCAGGTAGTCATCAGATTTAACTGACATTCTGTAAAAAAAGGCCCTTTCAGATACATTATATCTAGACATGTGAGAGATTTTCTGTGCAGTACAGTTCCAGTGACGATAGTCACTTTTGATTGAAAGGCAAGCACCACTTGTCATTAACTGACAATGAAAAAATCCACCTTTAAAGATTTATTTGATGAGAATAAATGCCCTGGTTTACTTGTATTGTGCTTTAGCCTTGTGAGTGATTAATCCCGGAGAATCTCAGTGGAGTCCTACTGAATTTAGATGACTCCTAATCACTCCCCTATTAGGGTACCAACTCTTTGCTTTGGCTTGTCTGTCAAGGGCCATTCCAGAAAAGAGCAGACTTCTCTTACCACTCACTTCCAAATCATAGTGTTACTGTGTCAACTGTGGAAAATGAAGCCATGTATATCATAAAGTAATATGGCAATGTGCTAAATGCTAAACTGTTGACTGCTCTGCCTCACTTTATTGCCTGCTGATTAGTTGGAACCCAGAGTTCATGTTCTTAAACAGTTCAATATTCTCAAATCTCAGCACCTCCCAGGAGTGCAGTCTGAATAGCTAATTCATGATTCACATTATATCTTACAGTAGTTGTATAGAAATCGATACATGTATCTACAATATATTATGTACTCCCAATCTGCAGAAAGCCTGTATAGTGAATCACCTGATGATTAACCAGTCCTTCCTGTCAAAGGGACTTTGTGGCATGACATTTAAGGAAGCAGCTGTCTAAATCTCTGTTGATATGTTGTATCGTTTAATTTTAACAAGACTGGCTTTACATAAAATGGGAGCTGGAGTAACTGTACTCCTGTAAAAAAAAGTAATGAGCTAGCTATTTAACTTCATGTGAAATTTACTTTCTGTTCACAGGCAATATTATACAGAACCAAGCCATATTTTCCCTAGGAGGGCTTAGACATTTTTAATAATACTGTACAACTACATGTCATCTACTTTCGATCTTTTATTATCCATTTTTATATGTCTATAATACTGTAGATAAATATTATCTGTATGGAAAAGAAAATAATCTATAAAAATATAAGAATATACACTAGGATACACTACATGTATATACAGTCATTTATATTTACAGAATATACAGTATAAATGTAATGTTACATTAAAGGTTTAAAACGCTCATTAAGGAAAAAAATAGATTCAGCCATCTTTAGCATTAGAATTTATGCACATACTGGGGCTTTATTTTGCTGTTAGTCATTAGAAATCTAGTTTTATACAGTATTAATGTGTCATGACCAGCAGTCACCTTGGATTTTGTTGCATTCCACTAAATTTCTCCAATGTCCGATTATTTACATTTACAATTGATTGACCAACCACCTCTATGATATTCGGTTCATGCTATATACTGTAGAAATATATAGGAGTTTAATAAGAAGGAGTTTCTTCTTATTAAAGAAGTTGTGACAGCTTCACACACTTCTTACATTTTAAATTGTGTGTTTCTAATTGCTATTAAGCCCTCACCCCTCTCACTGCATTGTCGTGTGAGATCTGCACTTGCTAGGCTTCTTGGGTCAAACAGTAGCAGGGCTGATCTGTGCAACATTACACAGAAATGTTACGTACTAATTAGGGAAGCTTCCTTTTTTACATGTGTATTTTGGTGAGACATTTGAAATCTACCAAAACCATTTCTTGTGCAACTTGTTATAAGCTTTCAAATACACTTCCTTTAGAATATACAAGTACACTCAACCACTTCTCTGGAGCTTAAAGGTCTGTTTACAAGCTGTATATTAGTAAATATGATTGTTGTTCCTGATGTTTTGCCTGCACAGTATAGTACATGATTCTATAGTCATATAGCAACTCTCACCATATGAGCACCCAGTATTGTTCATGTCTGTACACTGCTGTTTAAGTAATAACTTCAGCTGCATAATTAAGTGCAACATTTAAAATCTATTTTCAATTGAAATAGAGTTGAACTTTCTCCTAGAAACCCGGCTGTGAGACTAACTGCCAATGAGAAAGTAGTGTAGCACAGAGAAGCAAATCAGTAATGCTTTACTAAGGCTTGAATGACTTTACTAACACTTGAATTGGGTGAAAAATCACTGTCGTGACTCCATCATACACACATCACAACACAGGTTCTACCGATACCACTCGTCCAAATGTCATTACAGACTCACAATTGTTCTCACATTTCATAATGAGGCACTTTAATCCTGAAAGCTAAGAGCAGAACTCTAGGTAGAGAGAAATTAGGTGTAAATGATGAAAGAGACCATTAAGGACTCGAGAGCTGACAAGAACTTTATACAGATCCAGTTCAATAACAGTGGTCCTTTTAAGTTGATGCTACTTTTTATTTTGCTATGTGGTAGTTGTGCATGTTGTTACATAATGTCTTGCTGTGTTTATGAAGCTGTTAATCGTGGTGATTTTAACCTCAATAAAGTAAAGTGTCACCAGAAAATCAAATATTCTCTTTTATACTCAGGTAGTGTTGGTTGCCTGCTCTGTTTTAATACCTGCTTCAACTGTTTTCTCAAAAATATTACTTCCTCTTTTCTCCTATCTTGTGGGGGATAGTTTATTACTGTCTTATCTGGAAAACAGAAAATACTGCTTTGCTCCT